AATACAAATTTAATAATAATAATAGTATTTTAAGTGAATAATCTATATACTTATATAAAAATGGTGTGAAAAATGTATAGTCATTCATCAATTGAGAACGGTTGGACCGATTTGGCTAAATTTTTTTTTAGTTGTTCGTTATTACCAGGAGACGGTTTTTACGGAAGAAAATTTTGGGAAAACCTTCCGGAAAAGTCGGGAAATTGGAAAAGTCGAAAATTAAATTTTTTTATGGAATTTTTTGTGCAATTCCTTCGGAATGGCTTTCGAATAGAAAAATAGAAAATTCTAAGTGGAAAACTCTGAAAAATCCGGAAGAACAATTTGAATTTTTTTTGACAAAATTTTGCATTTAATCGCAAGATTTGATGATGTTGGACGATGTAAAGGTGGAAAATTCGTTGTGAAGCTTGGAAAATTGCGGATAATTGTGAAATTCATTGTGAGCATGAATCAATTGGGAACAATTTTCTCCATTTGGTACCTAGGTAGCCTTTTGCCTAGATTAGCATATAGGATCCATTTTTTCCGTTACGTGGGCCAGGGACCGATCTATTCGAAAAAGTCTTATTTATGGTCCGATTTGCTTGAAATTTGTCACGTAGGTAGCTTTTTGTCTGGCTTAACACATAGGATATTTTTTTCTGATAGGTGGACCAGGGACCGATATATTCCGAAAAATCTTATTTATGGTCCGATTTGCTTGAAATTCGATACCCGTATTATAGATCTATTATATTATTATATAGAATTGAGTCATTGTTTTACAGTTCGAAAGGTGTTTGAAGGCGACGAAAACATGCGGGTATCGGCTATTTAACAATACTTATTACACAGGCCAACAAAAATGGGGAAACAATTGATGCAGCAAATTTTAACGCTTTTTTGACGTAAGTATAAAGTTTCCATCAGCTCCAGATTTTAAGAAAAACGAGGTCAAAGTGTCAAAAAATCGCGTTTTTTGCAATATTTGAGAAGCACTAGCAAAGAAACAAAGGGTGGTAGGACCTCTCACTTAGGCTTAGATTAAAGCAAAAAATCTTGACTACTATCCCTGCAAATTCCTGCACCTTTACTTGATAGTCACTTATAGTCATTTGTTGAACAGGAAAAAATGATTTTGGGAATTTTGAGTACCTACCGCAATTAAGAAAAAGGTGTTAGAATCTTCCACTTAGGCTAAAATTAAGGCTGGGACTTCTGACTTCAATCCCTGAAAATACCATTCCTGCACCTTGACCCTAAGGTCACCTATAGTCATTTATTAAACAGCTAACACTGATTTTTACACCTTTTTTCAGTTGCATAGTTCTCCAGTATTTTTTTTTATTGTTGTGCGATAAAAAGTAAATGAGTATGGGTGACCATCAGGGAAAGGTGCAGGAATAGTATTTTCAGGCATAGTGCACGGTACCCTGGAAACAATTTCAATCCTCAAGTTGCTTCGGGGGACCTCACTGAACATTTTCCGAAAAAAAGAGAAAATCCGTCGGAAAATGTTCACAGCAAACGGTGAGTAGTATGTAGCTCTAGCTTTAATTTAAGCCTAAGTGGAAGGTTCTATCACCTTTTGTGTCCCTGATAGAGTTTCTCAAATATTGCAAAAACGCGACTTTTTTGACACTTTTACCACGTTTTTCTCAAAATCTGGAGCCGATGAAAACTTTATACTTACGGATTCGTAATCAGGACAAAAAAGTCTATCAAAAACAGCTTTAACATTTGCCGCATCAAAATCGGTGTTGCCCTGTGTTACCGACACTAATTATATAAATGAAGCTCCTTCTTTTTATAAGAGGTGATCTCGACGATTCACCATCGAGCCGCAAGGACTTCTTCCCAGTATAACGCTTTCGTCAGGTTATTTAAGACGGCAATGTAGTATATGCCTTCTGTCGACCACAAAACCAAACGTGAACGTGAATTGCTGGCGAAAACGTTGTACCAAATGTTTCAATAAAAAAATAAATTTTGGGCGGGACGAAGTTCGCGGGGTCTGCTAGTTAACTATATAACTCGTTTATTTGTTGTATTCCACTAGCTGATCTCGCGGTATCGTATATACAGGTAGGCGGTCCCCCACTCTTTGCGCTCTATCTCAAGAAGGGTTGAATGTACATAAAATTACTTGAAACAAAAGTTGAAGAGAATTTTTCGGTCTGCAATTTTTCTAATGACCTGAAACGAGATATTTGCAAAAAACTGATTTTCGTGACCTTTGACCTTAAAAATCTTAAGACGCGGACACATGGTCATATGAGACTTTTGAGGTAAGTTTTATAAGACCAAAATAAAGACTTGTGAAAATGTTTAGCTTATTATCTTTCATTTCGAGATTTGCCTTATTTGACTGAATTACTAGCGTTTTCTGCATTTACCAGTTCGTTATCAGTTACGGTGTAATATAGTTAGTAGTATAGTTAAACAAGTTATAAACTGGACTTTGATAACTTTTATTAGTATCTATAATAATAAACAATAATTTGCAATTCTTTTTACACTTTTGAAATTAATTTCGGTCACCGACACAGTCATGACTTGTGCCACTCTGTCATGGTACGGTTGTTGCTCCCTTTCATACCACAGTAATTTTGTATACAACTCTGAATCAACAAAATTCTTGCTCCTTCTCATTATCAACCCTGATCAGATTTTACCCCCGAGGAGTACTCAAAAAGGTTTATTGCTGTAGATACTGTGGTCAGAACAACGACTTATTTAAAGAGCGTAAGAATACGTGTGTTGAGTGCACTGCTCGCACGAGTAAGCTCATGGTACAATTATTAGTGGTATTGTCTTCCTTCATTTCGTACAAAATTTATAAGAATTAAACAAACTTTAACAAATACTCCCAAAAATTTTTAACCTTTTATGCAGTTTTATAGCCCATTAAATTTAAGTAGGTTAAAGTGCAAATTTCAATAAGCTAGGAAACCGCGTTGATTTTTAATAATTTTTTTTAGGTGTGATTGTTAAAGTTTGTTGAATTTTTATAATTTTTGTAAGAAGTTTTAAATGTGAATTGATGTGGTGCTGGTTATGTAATGTGCTAGACTTTTATAAACAAAATTATAAACATTAAATGAACAAAATATAAATAACCAAAACTGGTCAAAATGTCACTAAACTTAATCAGCTGACTACAAGTGTATATATTATGACAAAGATTTAATTTATGGAATCGGTATCGGGTACCGAAAAGAAAGTATTGGGTACAGAAATTTTTTTCAAGTATTGGGTACCGAAAATTCAGCACATAACTATTGAAAGCTGCAATCATAAAACACGGCCTGGAAAGTTGCATGAGGGTGTGATCTTCCATCACGATAACGCGTCAGCCCATTCCTCGAAACAATCTAGACATCTTTTACGGGAATTTCGCTGTGAAATCTTATCTCATCCACTCTGTAGTCCCCATCGGATTCCCTAAATTAAGACAGGACAATAAAGGTGTAAGGTAGAACTCAATAAATGATGTTAAACAGACCGTTTTGAGGGGGTTCAGTTCGAAAAATTCTGCTTTTATAGGAAAAGTCTAGAGAGGTCGCAACACCGAATGCAAAAGTGTAGTGAGATTCACATGTTGGAAAAATATCACCGTAATACTAAAAACTATTTAAATAAACAAGAAAGCGAGTTGATATAAACGTGGTAGGAAAACAACACTGCACAAAAATAGATTACGAAAAGTGTAACTATCGCATTATAATTAAAAATATGTCAAACAATTTAAAATATGCTCCAAAAGTAAAAAAATATGAATAATATTTGAATGGAATTAGTAGTTCAGCTTTAACATAAATTTGTTAAAAGCTTTTAATAAGAGAAATTCCAAAACAAAATAAATTAAATGCAATCGGTTTATAGGTTCCTAGCACATCTTTAGAAGTTTAGGTGAATGAATTAAATTACAAAATTATCTATAATTAAAAAAAAACTGGAATATAATCATGTGTGTTAGTGTTGGTTGATTTTTCCGACTGGGTGGTAAGATAACTTATATTAGAACGATTTTCCATCATTCCTTTTCGAGTTTGGTTTGTGGACTGAAGATGGCGCAACGACTAAACCGGGTTTTCTCCAAACCAAACTTGACAAGAAATGACGGAAATTTGTTCCAAAATAAATCATAAACGAATTCACAAAAGAATGGAGACAAACCCTCATATAGAAAGCACTAAATGAATTCGGTTACTCACAATAATTTATCTGCTCCAGGAAGATAGAAAAAGGGAGCCGAGCTGAATTTTCTGGCTCCCTAATTGTTTCTTTGAAAATGGAGGTATATGAAAACATTCCATACGCACGCCTGAACTTATATTATGCCTTTAACGCACACAGTTTATCTACTTTAGTACTATGTGGATTATGGGCTGAAGGCTGTTCGCACCGGCTGATAGTGTTTTCGTTACATTACATTTACATTTACAGTTTTTCTACAAAAAAACATCGTATTAAGGGTATTCAGACTATACTCGTTAATTCGGTATTCGGTAACTCCCACCATTGTTTTGTTTTTGTAAATTACCGAATATATCATTACCAACTTAACGAGGTCGCAGGTCTGATAATGTGGTAACACATGCGTTAAAATGTCAGCTGATTCATTTCTGTCACATATTTGCCGGAATTTTCTCGCGCGAGAAGTGCATACATTTTATCAAAAGTTCAATAAATCTTTCTGTCGCGGAATTAATAAATTTTACAAGTAAGTATTACTTAAATAAAAGTAATTTTAACCAGAAAACGTAGAGATCATACTTAGGGTCATCTTGCTAGTTTTAGCTTAGTTTAAACGGGTCAACATTTCATATTGTGGTGCTACAGGACAGAACAGAGACATTCTAATATATACAGCGCTTGAAGTTGTCATGTGAGTTTTTATTACTATAGGTAGTCATCGACAGCCTGGTCTTGAGGTAGTCAAAAAAGTTACGGTAGAGGTAGTTTGTCTAGGCGCTAGACGTAATGAGGACTTCCATCTATGTACCTATACTTACCAATATTGTTATAACCACTAGCGTAACATTCATTGTGCCTGCATCGAAGAATAGCGACGGCTCGGTTATATTGAGACGAGTCTGTGGGGTCCACTCGCCCACTTTAACTATGGAATGTTGGCGCAGTTTGACTAGGTCCAACTTAAATTGAACACGTCGGCCTTCTTTGAACTGTATCGGGCCGGTTAGACCCCGCCACTCCACCGAATTTATATAGTTTATCAAACTCAAACCCCCTTCCCATGGTGTCTCGTCCTCGCATGAAACGTTCGAAATGCGCAGTGCATGTGACTGTTCCAAGGTTTTTAAGCCAATAGCAAATATATAAACTGAATCGTATGCTAGCGCTGGTTCTGTCTGTGCGGAAATTGAATTGCAGACAGTTTTGTAAATTATCACGCTGTCTTTTTGGAAATATACCATCACCTGTATCGTGCGCAGCTTTCGGTAGTAAGTTTTTTCATTGTTGTGTTCGCTTCTGAATGCTTCCATGTCCTTGAGTATGTTGCGCACGCTCACATCACCGACATCAACCAGACGGAACGAAGTGATATTCACAAAATTATATTTGAAGTCCTCGAGATCGAATGTTTCAATGTCGAAACTAGTAAATAAGTAATGGTATTTATATTCGTTCATCTGTAGCTGCAAAATCTGAAACGTCATGATAACTATGGTTCAGAACTGTTTGTCAGAGTAAGCGCAAAAGGACAGTGATATTTAATGCAAATCTACAACAAAGCATTTTTTTTTGGAACAAAGCTTTCCATTTTTAGTTACATCCATAATTTACTTTTAACATTAATAAAAAATAGTTTAATGGGCATAATTTGTTAAGCAAATGTTTAAAAGTGTAGGCTGAAAGTAAAAGCACTTTAAAAAGCGATATTGGCATATATACATACATCTACACAAAGATGGTAAGCATGATTAAGACCCCGTTCACATGACGGGCGCTTAATACGCGTTTGATAACGCGCTCCAAAGAACTACAAGTATTTTCCTGCGTTTAAGGCGCGTTAGCATATGAATACCTTAAGAAAAATGCAAGGAAATATATGTAGCTGTAAGCGCGCGTTAAGCACCTGTCATGTGAACGGGGTCTAAAATATCTTTGTTGACAGTACGCAGGATGCGATTCGGGTATTCAAATTGGCAACGACTGGCTGGATATGATTAGGGACACGAATTTCGATACGATACGATACCATATCGATACTTTTGGCGTTCGATACCGACATTTTTTACTCGATAGTTTTAAAACGATATTTTTTGGAATCGAGTACCAGAACCGTAGCATCGTATCGAATGTCATAAACTCAAATTACAGAGATAATGTGATTATCAATTCTTGCCGATATAAATTGGGCTTTAAAGAACAGAAATTTTTTACTATCGTTAGGATTGCATATGGCGGGATTTGAACACGCTGTCTCGGTGTTTTAAGTAAACACCTCAATCCCTACGCGATGTAGTAATAATAATAGATCGGCGCTTACACAATATGTTAGTGTTTAGCTGAGCTTCTCCTTCGATTTGTTGCGTGCGCCTTCATGTTGTGCCACAAAGGGCGTCCCTAATGTTTTACGCCGATTCTGAACGCCGATTGTATTTTTTATGAGAAGCTGTTTTTCATGGCAGAAATACGCTCGGAGGTTTCTAATCACTACCCCGTAGCGGCATACATACGACACGAATATTCAGATTTTTTTTATTTTTTATTTTGGTATATCGAGTCTCTTTATTCCGATATTAATGGGTACCCGATATTTTTACAGCGATACTTTAAATGAGTACCATATCGATAATTTCGGTTCGATATCGTTTCCCTAGATATGAGTTAAGAAATGTCAACAATTCCTGTAATTAAATTTTTACTCAGTCCTAGAAAATAATGATGTTTCGGGAATTCAGGAAGTAGACGAGTGAGCATGAATATGGTCTGCTACAAAACTTCGGGAACGTAAGCAAGCAGCACCAGCAACTTTCGCAGAGGTTTCTATTAAGAAGTCTAGAGTTTATGTTAACAGTAGGTGGATTAATCTGGACATAAACAGGGTATTTCGATCGCTCTGGGGCCTGTTACACAATGTCTACAATTGGGCACAATCTACAGGTTATTCCGAATTCTCTTTTAACTACAAGTATCCCAATTCCTTGCAACACAATATTATTTCATACACTTGTAATTATTAGTGAAATTGTCTACAATTGTAAGGGCCGTTTCAATTAAGAAAATGTAAGAGTCTTGAATACTATACTCTAGCTTAGTGGTGGCAAACTATCGATGGCAATACCGATACAACCGATGGTACAACGCATCGCTGGTGATGCCCCATCGACAGTATATACATATCGACGTTATACATATCTATGTACGGGTTTTATGTACACGTGAAAACATGCGGTGTGTGGAAATATTTTAATAATAAGCCGTTTATTTTGAATGTGACATAAGCCACTTCCACCTCTTGTGGATAAATGGTTGGTTACTTTTCATTGAATGCACCTGTAAATCATTCTACCATCATAAACTAATAACAAAACTTTTTACCTTTGACTGATGACTTATGCCATTCATAAAATTTTGTTCACAACGTTGTCATTTCGTCAAAAATTCCACTTTGGGACGTTTCATGAATCGCGCTGATGTACATGCAAGTACCATGATTCATGAACTTACATCAGAGGTGGGTAAATTAACATTATCATATATGGGTTTAAAAGCCAGTGTTCGGACTATAGCACATTTGTGGTAGAGCTTCAAATTTTTTTTGCAAATTGCAATGCTACCACAACAACCACCTTAAGATTTTTATCTACGCATTTCGAAATAAATCCTTTTTTACAATTTGCTCATTCTCTTATTTGGCGATATAACCGCCTAAGCGATTTTGGCCGAGTTCTCTTCTATGCCAACTCACGCCAGTTGGAAAAGCAAAGTGAAGCTAAGTCCTTCTTCACTTGGTATTTCCATCGCATTGGGAGCCTCCCTCTTCCTCTGCTACCACCAGCGGGTTCCGAGTCAAATACTTGCAGAACTGGAGCGTCGGTGTCCATTCGAACGAGATAACAAAGCCAGTGGAGCCGCTGGATTTTAATTCGCGTAAAGGCCCGTAAATCTTCCGCAAAATATTTTTCTCGATAATCCTTCAAGCGCCGCCAGGCCCGTCGAGAGGGAGGGGCGAAAGGGGTGAATCCCCCCGGCCCCGGGCTTCTTAAAGGGGCCCGAAATATCAGAACCACAACTTGTTATTATTTTTTTTTTTAAATGTAATTGCTCCTTCGTTATAGGCCTTCATTATAAACATATTACGAATCGTGCTGATTGTTTTCGACTCTATAAATTAAAGAAAATGTTCATATGGCCCAAAACGCTGACTGTTACTGTTGCTTTTCAAAACCCGCTGAAACTCGCTAGAATACAACTTTCGGATAGTTTTTCTTCTTTCAACAGCTGCTTTATATTATCGAAAAAGTCTACTCTCCTTATATAATGTTTTCAAAATTGGTACACGGTTTCTTAGCTTAAGGATGGAACTCAAGAGCTACGTATTTATTGAACTGATAAAATTAAATTTGAGGTCAATATTTGCAAAAAATAGCTTGTAATCTGTTTTATGCAATAAGTAGCATGAATTAAGCAGACTTGCGATTTGACATGTAATACAAAGAAATTAAGAACATAATAATTATGAATACAGACTTCTGTTGCTGTGCAGCTGTAAGTCGTTTCAGAAGTAATTTTCTTGCTAGAACTCGAACTGGAGGTTACAACTGTGCCAAGATATTGAGGTTTTCCGGGGTTAAGTACACGAAAAAAGGCTTTAATGGCCACTTTTGTTTGTTCTATGACATTTAGTACTATTCTAACTATTCAAAATGCGCCTTAGATAGTTGCTTTACGAGTTTTCCTTCAGAAACTATGGCCATTGGAAAATGTGTTGAGTTAGAAAGCATATGCTTGGTTTGGCGATGTTAGATTCGAGGACAAGACGGCTAAAGTGGACGTAACTCTTGAAGGAAAAATCTCATAGCACCATTCGAGAGTGCATTTTGAAGGATAATAATAGCACTAGAAAAGTACTTGAAATAAATCCAATATATTTTTATTATCTAATCAGAAAACCTTCTTCTTTTAGCTTTTTGTTTCGCTTCTTTTGGCCTCGTTCCTTTTTGAAATAATATAATTCTCGCGTTTTTTATTATTCTACGTAATTTTTATTTTCTGAGCCTATTTGAGCAATATAGCGGCCCGGCTGGCTTGGCCATGTCGTTCGATTGGGCACCGAAACTCCAGCTCTGAAAGTATTCAAGTCGGAACCCGCTGGTGGTAGCAGAGGAAGAGGGAGGCCCCCACTGCGATGGAAAGACCGGGTGGAGAAGGACTTGGTTTCACTTGGAATTTCCGATTGGCGTCAGTTTGCACAGAAGAGAAACGACTGGCGCGCTTTATTAAACTCGTCCAAAATCGCTTAGGCGGTTACAGCGCCAAATAAGAAGAAGAAAAGGATTTGAATTAAAAAGAATATAAATTTTAACTATGAGTCAATAGCTTATAATGTTGCTTTCAAAATGAGCCCTATCTCTATCTAAATAAAAAATAATTTTACCTGAAAATTAAATTAGTAAAAAAGACTCTTATACGGTTGACAAACGGGCTCGCTTATTTGCATAAACAGCCTTTATTTGCTTTAACTCACTTGGACTTGGTTTCACTTGGCATTTTCAATTGGCGTCAGTTTGCACAGAAGAGAAACGACTGGCGCGCTTTATTAAACTCGTCCAAAATCGCTTAGGCGGTTACAGCGCCAAATAGGAAGAAAAGAAAAGGATTTGGGTTAAAAGGATTTGGGTTAAAAGGAATATACTAAATGTTAACTATGAGTTCAATAGCTTACAATGTTGCTATCAAAATGAGCCCTATCTCTAACTAAATAAAAAATAATTTTACCTGAAAACTAAATTAGTAAAGAAGACTCTTATACGGTTGACAAACGGGCTCGCTTATTTGCATAAACAGCCTTTATTTGCTTTAACTCATGCATGTTCCTCCTTAAAATATGCATAAGCAGCCGAACAAATGCACGATTTTCTTGGGAACTAACTCGGATCAGGGGAAATTTCGATGAAAACACTGGTAAAAACGGCGAGCTGTTGTCTTTTGTACAAATAAGCGAACAAAGCAGGAGAGTTTGGCGTCCGCGCTAACCGAGTGGTGAGAGTTGCGTGCTACAAGCCTATAGCTGCCAGGGTCGATCCTCGGTTGGAGCGATTGCGAAACAATTCTTGATTTTTGTTATTTATTTTATTTTTTCTATATATTTAATATTACTTTATTTTATATCACATTTTATATTTTACTATTAGCTATTTTAAACGTTTACAGATGAATTTTATTAAAAAGTCAACAACAACTAACTGAAAGCAATGTTAAAAAATATAGAACTTATAAAAAAAAATACTAAAAACGAAATAGAGGAAAATCCTACTGGCCGTGGGACTCGAACCCACGACCCTGCGGCTCGTTAATCCGCAATGCTGACGTCTGTCAGGGCAAAATTGTTCGCATTTGTGTGCTAGTTTATATGCATAAGCATGCCCGTATGTCTCGCGTTTTACGTTACAAATAGTTCTCCACCAAAAACATATGGATAATGAAGAAACTGCTTTATTTTATTGTGAAAGAAGGCCGAAAATGGTCGAAGAAACCAGATTTTTCAATTCTTTAGTCTGGTGGATTCCGCGA